GACAGCTCCAGCCATGACTGGCTTTGTGCATGGATGCCGGAGATCTAGATGCACCTTGCAGAGCACCTCCCCAGCCCCACTCTTAGCTGGAGTGAGTGGTGTTGCATAGGCTCCTACAGAGCAGAAACAGGAAACAACTAAATACTTGGATCTTAGAAACCCTCCTTTTTACTCAGTAAGAAGGATCTTGCTGGTGAATTTCCTCATTAAGCCACATCTTCATTCACAAAGAAGGTACCTCCCTCCTCTCCAGACCTCAGCTCTTCTGCCCAGGGTGACATCTAGAAACTCAGTATCTCTCCCATCTTTTTGTCTATTTGCTTGGTTTTCACAGGGTCTCATATAACTCCCAAACTCCCCATTTTCCTGCCTCTGTCTCCCAAGTGTTGAGATTACAGACATGAGCTCTGGCTTTTTCTCTCAAGTATTAAACAAAGGAATTCAGTGTTCCCTTTATCTTAGGGTCTAGCCAATCTTGGCCGTGTTCTCAGGGTTTCTTAAGATAACTAATATGCTCCATCAGACCTTTAAATGCCACTTGATCTTAATAGAGTAATGAGACTTACGTGACAGGGTCTGTTCTCTCTGGAGGAGGTGCAATACTCATAAACATAGATGGTTCAATGACTTTCTGAAGAGGTTTTAACTGAACAAAGATGTAGGTACAGTCAGTTATAATTCACAGTAATAGAATTAACACCACTATCCCCAGCTCCCAAAGGCCTATACAGTTCTTAAATGATGAACATCAGGGGAAGAGGAGTGAAGACGACAACTTAATTTGTTGGGTACTAAATATCTGCCAGGCATTATATACCTTTAACTTTCTCAAATGCTTTTGATAAAACTATGAACTAAGTATGCATATTTTATAGATTACACTGAAGATCAGTGATTCACTCAAAGTTACAAAATGGTGTGCATGAGTGAACGACGTGGAACGTGAGTGTAGCTTTCCTGGTTCTTGAGTGGAGATCTTTTCACACCCTCACAATAGGTGAGTAGGAGGCATACCAATGCAAGCCTCATGGCTGCACTGTGCTTTTATTGGACAGCCAGTTCCTTTTCATACAATCTCTTTGTTCTGTGTTTTCAGTAAGGTCTACCTACATAAAACAATATTTGCCTCGTTTTATCTGAAAATAAGCTATGTTCTCTGTGTGTGCACATGAATGTGCTCATTTGTATCTGAAGACATATGTGCATGTGTGTTCACATGTGTATGTGCTGCATGTGTAGTCCAGAGGACAAGTTCAGGTATCATTACTCAGGCTTTCTCACTGGCATAGAGCTCATCAAGGAGGCTACACTGGCTGGCCAGCAAGCACCAGGGAGCTTCGTGTTTCTACCTCCTCAGTGCTAGGATTACAAATCTGAAAATAACCTCTCCCTCTAAGAATAGTTACTCTTATATGTTACGCTTATATTTGAACACAAACCTACGTCTAAAAATACTCATAAGCTATCACTGCTATATGTAACTTGCAGAAATAATGACAGTGAAAATTCTCAGTAGAAACAGCCTTTACCCACAGAGCCATGTGCCAGTCCTAAACATTTTTTAATGTTTTTTGTTTTTTTGTTTTTGTTTTGTTTTTGTTTTGTTTTGGTTTTCCGAGACAGGGTTTCTCTGTGTAGCCCAAGCTGTCCTGGAACTCACTCTGTAGACCAGGCTGGCCTCGAACTCAGAAATCCACCTGCCTCTGCCTCCCAAGTGCTGGGATTAAAGGCGTGCGCCACCACTGCCCGGCAAATTTTTTACTTTTAAATGTTGCCAAACTGGAAAAAAATAGAGGCTCAAAATAGAATGTGTTGATTGATGAGCTAAAACAGAATACATTTACTTTACAAAGAAGGGAACTAACCTGATGTGAAAATCCATAACCGAAGTTTCCATAGGAGAACATAAATTCCACTTCCACCCTGCAGACAGGCTAAACACAAGGAAATCATTTTACTGTTTGTTTACAATGATGTCGGAGGAGTGACGGGAGCTAATAATGTCATAAATCTGTATGTTTAGAAAAGCCCAGGAAAAAAAAAACTAAAAAATAAACCAAAGCTTTGTTTATACAAAGAACCCCAAAAGAAGATTTTATTCACTTCCCAGAAAGTTAAAAAGCCTCTCATCTTAACATTAAGCAATGCTAATGGTCAAATGTACAAAATTTAAATTAGAATCATTAGTAGGATTATGCTCAGATATTTACATATATAGTATGTATTTTATATATGCATATATATCAAATTATTCACTCACGTCTTTCATCTCTACCCCAGATCAAATTTTGAGACAAGCAATCTCACCTCTCAATCCCAGGCTGACCTCGTGTGAAGGGAAAGAGAGCGCCATATTCAAGGTGGCAGGAGTGTCTCGGATTGCTCAATTAATCAAATTGCTCACTTAAGCACATTCGGAATTCAGAGACTCTCCAGCAAGGCTGGAGAAAGCACCGAAAGCAGTGGAGATGTTACACTGTCTCATCCAGTGATTTTTAATCCTCTCTCTCACAATTTACTAAGCAGGTCAAAGTGTTACAAATATGTATATATGTATATACATAACAATAAGAAAAGGAGGCCATGAATTTGAAAGACAACAAGGGGGAAGTATAGAAGGGGGAATAATACTATATTGTAATTTAAAAATTATTATAAAGAACAAAGATACAGAAAGTTAAATTGAGTCTGGAAAATGATACCAAATTTTTCATAAAATAAGTTAAGAATTTATGAGCAAACACACACTTTTACTAATTCAGACAGCTGAGGTTAGGGTAGTGAAGAATTTAAAAGTTTAGGCTATAAGCTATCAGAGTAAGCTCTCTATGGTGTTAAAACATCACACATGCATAAATCTTAGGAAGGTTTGTAAAGTTCTTACGGAGTTCCTACGCATCATTTGCATTATTTCGGTAAAGCAGCCTTTCTAGAAAGAAAAATCTTAAATGTAGAATTACTCATGTATGTATCTGTAATTTATCTAAAGCATGCTATAATACAAAATCAGGCAGTAATTTTCAATATATACATGAATTCAATAGCTAAAATACAAGTACAATATAATTTTAAGTAAATTAAAATCAATGTTCAGTAGAAAAAAATGTTCTATTGCAAGTGACAGAAATGACTGTAGATGTTAGCACTTACAGAGGGAGAAATGTTTCTGCTGACTTGACTTCCCTTTCTGGAAATCACCCCCCATTCTAGTTTTGAGAGGTAGGTGGAAGACTCCTCACATCGCAAGGGCATGGACAGTATCTGAAACCTTCCATCCTTGGTCCGAATCTGTGGTCATCTCTGCTGTCCTACGAGTTATCTCACCCAGTCCAACATCCATGGTTAATTCTTTTCCCTGCGTATTTTTGCTACTCGAAGTTTCATGGTTAGGAACACGAACACTACATGCTGAGTCCTTCACTGAGCTTTCTTTTCAGCTTGCACCACCACTATGCACTGTGTCTCTTATGGAACCCAGAGGCAAAGAGGCCTCTCTGGAGCCCACACACCAATATTGTTCAGGAAGTAACGTGGACTCTGCCACACTACCCTTGACTGTTCCAAATTATATGACCTTGAGTGGAGATTCAGAATTCTTTTTTTTAAGCCTCATGCCATCTGACAATTCTAATATTTTTCATATGTTTAGAATGAACTTTGTTTCCTATGCATGTGATAAATCCATGCATAGGAACCCATCAGGAGCCATGATGACAAATACCAATTACACAGCATGGTACCAAGAAAAATGGTTTCTGATTTACTTTTTGTCTTTTTGAGACTGTTTCATGGAGCCCTGAAATCACTATGTGGCCAAGGGTGAGCTTGAACCCTGTCTTGTCTGTACCCCCAAGTACTGGGATTAAAGGTATGGATCCCTATGTAGCCGATATTTTTATATATACCTGTATTACTTCATAGAGATGTGATTCCGAACTGCCTAAGGGAAGTGGAGGCTTTTCTGAATCTCCTCCATCTTGCATTAGTTCCAAGTAAATATAATTCCGCTCATCGTCTTGACGTCTGGGAACCTCAACAGCAGAATATATGAGAAGTCGCATTAAATTTTAAGTCTGAATTTCAGACATAATGTCCAAATAAATACATCTATACGTTATACTATATCATGGGCATCACTAATTATTAGTTTTTATGTTATCTTTGTGACTTTTCAAGTTCATCATTCCACATATTCTAATATCAATACAATCAGGACCTGCTATGTCTAACGTTAATTATGATCTTTTGAATCATCTATTACAGAATCATAGTAACAAACCAACATGGCACTGGAGCAGAACAGGCACAGACCTATGGAACCAAGTGCAGGGTCAGACATAAGCCCACACAGCTACACCCACTTGATTTTCCACAGGCACAAAAAAAATACACATTGGAGAAAAGACAGTTTGCCAAGCAGGGCTAGAAAAACCCCCAATACCCAGATGCAGAAGAATGCTTGAGATCCCTACCCCCCTACCACTTACCTTGTATAAACACAAACCCGGAGTGGGTGGAAGAGGTCCATGGAAGACCTGAGTCTTTAAAAGGTCTAGAAAAGACACTCCGAGACACATTCATGGGCAATGGCCTTCTGAACAGAGCTCTGACAACCCAGGGACCAGCAACAAGTAGGAACGACTCAATTCAAAAGCTTCTGCATGGCAAGGGGGCGGGGAAACCTCTTTGCCAGCTGTTCATCTAACAGGAGATCAATATCCAGAGTATGCAAAGAACTTGGAAGACTAAGCACTGAACAAGTCAATAACCCAGTCGATAGATGTCAGATGAGCTGAAGACACATTTCAAATGAGTAAGTACAAATAGCTAATAAGTGCATGAAGAAATGTTCAACTGCTTTAAGCCTGGGAGAAATACAGATCAAAACAATATAGATTCGGTTTTGCCCGAAGGCAGAGGCTCTGGAGGATGCAGGGCAGGGCTTCTACATTACTGGTGAGAATGGTAAGCCATGAGAAAGTTCCTTAAGAACCTGAAAACCTGTCCCTAGATGCCTAGCAGATGTGACTGCTGTGTCACATGTGTATCAGTAGGTGGAAGAGAGGAGAGAGGCTACACCCAATGTTCTGATCTATGGACATCTGAATGGTTAGTAGCCTAACACTCCCTGAAAAAAAGCAAACCTGAGATGACCACCCTCTGGTGCCAGGCAGGCCTGGGCAGGTTCCCAGGACAGGAAGCAAACTGGAGACTAGAAAAACTCTGCCTGGGACTAGAGGTCCCAGGAGTTAGCCCAAGATAGATGGCCATTTGGGTGGACAGGTAGAGGAGAGCCTGAAATGACCACCAGCCTGGAGCCTGGGTAGGGAGCTAGCCCGAGATGAACACCATTCTGGTGCTCCCCATGTCTGGGAGGTAGGGGCAGAGATGATTCCTGCCCTGAGCCATAATGCACAAGCAGGGAATAGCACTCCAGAGACCACTCCTGAGATGACCCCAGACACTCAGAGACTCTGGGCACCACTAAGAGGAGCAAGTAAGTGGTGGAGAAATGGAAGAGAAAGAAAAACAGAAAGATGTGAGTACAATGAAGAGTGGTAGAACTGGAAACTTGACAGTAGTAACAATCTGATATGAGTAGCTGGTGATGCCACCTGGGACCATGGTGGGTTCTGGTCTGTGCTGATACTAGGGACTATGTCTGGTTCCACGGCCCTGCAGCAGCAGGGATCTGTTACTACCAAAGGCCAGGTAGATGTACCTGATCTGGGCTGCCACTGGGGACACGTCGATGTCTGAGGAATGTGCAGAACTGGCTCCATCCCTCACCTGGGTATTGTGGGCAAGCTGGCTAGGGCTTGAGAACAGGAGAACTGACCCTACACAATCGAGAAATTGCAGGTTAGCCAACCCCAAGGATGCAAGCAAGTATGGGAGAGCTAGCCCTACCATTCATCTCCCTGTGGTGGTATGGACAAGAAAGAGATAGCCTCCTCCCCTCTTGCCTCTCACCACCTTTGGTAGGCAAGAGACCCGGCCCTGAGGTCATGAGAGAAGAGCTGGCCCTGTCCATCACCAGCTGCAGCACTTGGAAGACAAGGCCTAGCACTGCACCTGGGCAACAAAATAGAGCTGACTATGATGTAGGGGTTGTGGGTGAGCTGGTCCGGAGGGCATGAATATGAGAGAGTTGGTCCTGCAGTCCTGCACCTCCTGTGAGGTGTCACCAGCAAAGGAGAAATCCCCTCCCTACCCTTTTGCCCTCCCTACTGCTACCAGAGGCTGACAGAAGAGTTGGCCCAGATGGGGTCATGAGAGCAGGAGAGCTGGCCCTGCTCCCACCTGCTGCAGCACTCAGGGAGGGCAGACACTGCACCTCACCTGGCCAGCAAAATAGAAATGATCCTGATAGCGGTGGTGCAGGTGAGCCAGCCAGAAGGGTGTGAATGTGGGAACGTATGGGGACTCTATGAGGATGACTCTCACTTAGATTCCAGAGGGGGATATAGAGACTGAAATGGCCACTTCCTGTAGCCAGACAGGACTTCCAGAGGAGGGAGGGGGATATCAATTCACCCACAAAACCTTCAACCTAAAATTTGTCTTGCCCACAAGATGTGTGGGGATAAAGGTGGAACAGAGATTGACAACCAATGACTGGCCTAACTTGAGACCCAACCCATGTGAGATAACCAATCGTTGATGTTATATATGATACTCTGCTATGTTTGCACACAAGAACCTAGCATAAGTGTCTCCTGGGAGTCTTCATCCAGCAGCAGATGGAGGCAGATGCAGAGACCCACAGCCGAACATCAGGTGGAGCTCAGGGAGTTTTGTGGAAGAATGGGGGACAGAAGGGGACATCAGATCCCCTAAAACTGGAGTTAAATCCTGATAAGCCTGCTGGGAGCCAAACCCAAGCTGTTTTCAAGAACAGCAAGTAGTCTTGACCACTGGACTATCCATCACTATTTTAAAGAAAGTTTTAAAATGTATTTAAGCTTCTAAGAAGCTTAACTGTAAACAGGAGCATACAAAGTTCCAGTTGAGTGGCAATTTAATGGAGTATGGCTTCAAGCCAGAGTGTATACACCCCAACTCCCTCAAATCCCAGTCCTACCACCCCAACAAACTCACATGGTTCCTCAGTTTCTTCATTGTAAAGATAATTTTTTAAAAGAGTGTGTGTGTGTGTGTGTGTGTGTGTGTGTCTGTCTGTCTGTCTGTCTGTCTGTCTGTCCGTCTGTGGGACAGAGGGAGTGGGAAGAGAGAGATTTAGGGTTGTTGAAAACAACTGGAGGCATGTATATGAGGGGATATATGAGCGGAGAGACAGTTATGGGTGAGTGGACAAAGCCAGGGTGGAAGGTGCAGGGAAGAGCACAGAAGAGACAGGAAGAGCAAGGAGAGCAAGCCTTCCTTATGACACATGACTAGAGCCTCAGGAGTGTGCTGACAGGCACGCCACTGCACCTCGCACACACCACAGGCCTTGCCAGGGCAACAAAGCACTACAAAACCCCAGAGAAGACAGTACTGCCTCTGCTTCTGGTCTGCCTTTCCCTCCAAAAGATATAAGTAGCTGGAATATTTGAAACTGCAAAGACACATCATTATATTGAGAAGGGAATTTTCACATTACCTGTACAGAAAAATACTTCACCTCATCAAACCTAAGTACAAGGTTCCTCTCATTATTAACGGTTTTCAAGTGACGAAGTTTTGTACATTTCACAATGTGGTTTACGGAGACACGCATGAACAGATTAAAATGCTGTTGGCCAATGACTAAAAATAGAATATTTAGGAAACAAGTCGTATTGTGATTGATCAAATAACACTGTAAAATCTATTAAACAATCTAGGATAAAATATAAAAATTAATCAAGTAGATAGAGAAGGTAATATCAGAGTAAATTAAGCAACAGAAAAAATTCAAGATGTATTTGTTGCCTCTCAGTGCTCGGCACAGTGGTGTTCACATTTCTCTCCAGGCCTACCACATCTTTGTTCTCACATTATCACTATAATTCCTTTGTAAATTTTCTATATATTAATTTTAAGGTGACTAAGCATATATGATACATAGGTGTCATTATTTTCTGGATATAATTATGTATAAAAGTTTTTAAGCAAGCATATAATTGAGAATAACTGATTGTTGGATAGAATTTAGAACAAAGTGTTCTACTCTGATTCACTACAGTCGTCATTTTCAATGTCCATATTGCTTTCACAGTACTGCATGACTTTTAAAAATGTTTTCAGAATTTAAGTATCTTAAAACATCTCTATAGAGAAATTTTGAAAAACTCGTATTATACAAAAAGAGAAAGAAAGGAAGAGAAAGAAAGACAGACCATAGTGAGAGTGACTTAAGAATAAGGATGGAGGAGTCTGGTCATTCAGACCTCTAATCCCAACGCTTAGGAAGCTGGGACAAGAGGACTGAGAGGCCAGCCTGAGCTACATACCAAGACTTAGTCTAAAACATTTAAAGTCTTTTTTAAATGTTTAAGGGATGTAGACTTGTTGTTTATAAAAATTAGCATTACATCTAAGGACAAAACATATTTTTCCTTTAATTTACATGGAGATTGAGATAAATCACAGGTGGCCAAAAAAAAAATGTTTTTCTTTTTTTACTTCTACACTAAAAAGTGGGATTTGCTTACTTTTGCTGTCCTTGAACCTGATCAGGCATTTATGATCACTTTAACATAAATTCAATGAATGTGACTAAAAATGGCATTAGGATGGATGGGACAGACATTCATCAAAGTGTAACATTTAAGGGAACGTGAAAAACTATGGCGATCAGGATCTTTTGTAATGTGTATAATATTTTTAAACTGACTTGAGTGCAGGATACCAGTGGTCTTGTGATAGGAACAGGCATTCTCGCCGCTCAGCCCCCAGCCCCCAGCCCCCAGCCCCGCCCACTCTGGCTGGCTCCACACTGAAGCACCAGACTTGCTAGTCCCTTTCAACTGTCAATGCTAAGAGGCTCTGACGCAAGGACCACCTAGTAGGTAAACAGAGGGTTTGACTATAAGAATGCTTAGTGTTTCAAGCTGCTGTTTTCAAGTAGTTAGTAAGTCAGCAATGAGTATCCGAAAACAGCAAGATGTGGTGATATTGTCATCTACAAACCAAAAGGATACACCTCTGAGAAAACTGTCTACAGCTCTTTATGTGAATCGCCAGACAGCCCACCTACGACAACCAAAACAAAAACACAAAAATCAAGCACATCTCTTTAAAGTTAACTTTCTTACACTTTACATTGAACTGTATTTAATTCTTTTTCATTATTTATTTATTCACTTTACGTAATTGAAACCCCCTTCCCTCCTCTCCCGCCAGTCCTGTCCTTACATCCATCTCCCACTCAAACCTGTGTCCAGGGGGCTCACAGAAACTGTATTTAAAATGTAAAAACACAGTTGTGTTGTTTTTTTCCCACTAGAAACACTTTGTTGTTTGTTCTTATTAAAAGTATGATTTCTTGGGGCTGGAAAGATGGCTCAGTGATTAAGAGCACATTCTACTCCACAGAGAATTCAAGTTCAGTTCCCAGCACCCACATCAGGTGGACAGTTACCAAGGAGCTGGTGCCTTCCAGCCTCGTGGGCACCAGGCACACACATGGTGCACTCACATACTTGTAAGTACTGAAACACACAAATAAAATAGAAAAAAAACCCACTGTTTAAGTGTGTGTGTGTGTGTGTGTGTGTACATGTGCATAATGGCATGTGTGTGGTGGTCAGAGGATAGCTTGCAGTAGTTGGCTCCTTTCTTCTACCACGCAGGTCATGGGGTTGAAACAGGCCCTCAGGCTTAGAATGGCAAGTGCCTTTACCCACTGGATCATCTCACCAGCCAATCAATGTATCTTCTATGCATGCAGAAAAAAAAATCACATGGAAACCTATTACTTCTGAGGTTTGGTGGGGACTGGAGTATGGAGGAGTGAAGAAGGGTCAATTTTCAAACCATAGGTCAATCTGAAGATAAGTAGAATCACTTAATGAGCTCAACAAAAATATTGGTTCACAGGACGTTAGCAGATCTTAGGTGGGGCTCCAAATCAGTGCCTTATACTTGTCAGGTGGGACAACTGGGAATCTTTATTATAGAAAACATTATTTCTGCGAAT